AAAGAAATAGCAAGATGAATGCAAAAAGTAGTAACATGTACAAATGAAAGAACTCCCCGATTAGTGCAGTAACTCTAGAAAACAAAAGACCCCCTGCTGAGGCAACCTTTCTCACCAACATCATCTATTAACAAGCCCATTACACAAGAGGTAGATTCAGGAGTTTTGTCAGGGGGGTGCAACATTGAAAATGACACACATGCACATTAATGTCTCACATTAGGACATGTTATAAAGGACACYTACATTAGTGCCTTTTTGTTCCCGAAAACCTCTACCTCATTATCAGAACAATACAAAAAAATACAAAAACAATAATTAAAGTAAACCCTCAGTTTGATTTTTACACAACCTCAGTAGGTCAGAACAAATAGCTCTTAAAATAATAATAATAATATGTGACTCTTTATTGATGATAAGAAGAACGTCCACTTCTTAAATTACATTCTTAAGTTAGAAAAAAGTGAAAGTTACAACTTTTATACTGACATCATGTTTAAATAGTAATCTGTTGAAAAAAGTGTTCATAAATCGAGAAGTATATATTTTAGGTTTAGCTGCTGCAGAGTATATTAAGTTATATCTAGTTGATTTAGGCTTAGGTATTAAACAGTGTAGAGCGGATGACTTTCAGTAGAGGCTGCCTTCTTATAGAGCTGAATGTCCTATTTGTTCTAAGATCTTGTTTAATTATGTCTAATCTGATGGATATATATTTACGTTTAAAGCAGCGATCAAGAAAGGCCTGTATGGTAGATAATTCAGCAACGGCTGCTCCATATACAGATAAACCATATGTAATATTTGGTAAAACTAAGCTATGGAAAAGGTGATCAAGCTCTTTCTGGTTATAACCCTCCTTACGTAAACACCTAAGTACATACAAACATTTGTTGGCCTTGATTAGCTTATTTCTAACGTGCAGACTAAATCTGCAGTTGCCCTCAAACTCAATCCCAAGGAAGGTCAAATTATCGCACTTATAGGAATACCAGCAATGGTATTAAAAAAATCTGTTTGCACACCTTTCTTATAAAGTATAAGCTCCTTACATTTACTTGGATTACATGACATGTGATTATTGTTAGTCCAAGTAAGAAATTGATCAACTATATTACCTGAGAAATCATTATAGCCATAAACTGGCGATATTAAAGTGGAATCATCTGCGTATTTTTAAAGTGACCTGTGTCAGTAATATGTTCTCAAGTCATGTACAGGAGGTAATAAGCGATGAAGAAACCATTTTGTAGCAAAGGCGTGCATTTATACAAAATATTGTGACAAAAATTAAAAGGACAAAACCGAAACCACCGTGAAAATATTAACTTGACACGCCTGACCTCAATGAACGAGCAACTGATGCATACGCACACAAAACTCCATCATGCTTGCAGAAAGCATAGGATAACCTCTGTATCATCCAATATAAGTCAAAAGTGCCATAATATGCGTCCTCTTCCGCTTGATCTGAGAATAATTGACAAGCCTCAATGATCACATTCTTCAAAACATTCTGACAAGTCAACAACAAGCACCATAAAATCATTAAATGAAAACGTTTATTGGAAAATTATAATGATACACATGTAACTATAATAATTATTATAACTGTACATGATGTCCTTAAATTCAATCTTTTAGCTGAGCTTGAATGGAATACAGCAATTATACAAATTTTTTGAGTTCAAACATTTTTCCCCGGGAAAAAATCATAGGAAGAATTTATGCTGTAATTGCAAGCATTTTTTTTTGCTACCTCACTAATGCTTTTGTCAATTTACTCCCTCATAACATTGGATTACATAGAGAGGATTTCGTATGAGTGGGACACCGTTACCGCACGGTTACCGCACAGTTACCGGACCTGGCCTTCACAATTTTGGTGAACCAATCGGGCATTAGAATTTGGTTACAGCACGATTACGGTCACAGTACAGTACCCTCCGTTTCCCACTCATACGAAATCCGCTCTAATAAAGTGCTTAATACTGACCATGTTTAGACGGACCATATGGGAAAAATTTGTGTTTAGTCCTCACAGCATGACTGGGGCAAAATATTTTGGTTTAATTAATTGGCCCAATCAAACTCAGTCAATATAACTACAATATACATAATTATTATTATTTTATACACTGAGACATGATCGCCAGGTCAGGGAATCAAACCCATACTGTAAACCCAAAGTCTGTTGCTTTAACTAACCATCATGTCTCTTTTAATAGGATGAGGATGAAACAGTAGAGTTTGAAGTCACAATAACAGGACACATGGACCCTTTAGTCTGATACAATTACAAATCACTAGATAAAGAACTATCTTTCATGATTTCTATTAGCAATCATAAAATACTGAGGTTTTATGGATTAAAATAAAAACAGTTACCATTATTATAATTACCAACCAAGACTATTATCTTCAATTATAATAATATTGCATGCTGGTGCTGATTTTCTAAGTTGATCTATGCCCCTCTCAGTAATTGCACTGCTACCCAGACTAAGAGAATTGATAGATGTTGATGGCAATACTTCACCAAGGGTCAATAACCCTTTATCAGTAAAGTAGCTAGAAGAATAATACATGTACATGATAATATAATTTGAAAGACTGAGTGTGGTGATGTGTGTTGATGGTAATACATTACTAAGGGATGATATCCCTTCATCAGTAAACTCACCATCAAGGT